GGGTTTATAGTTTTAGTTTTCTTTGTTGTTATTGTTGTTCTGTTTGTTTGTTTGTTTTCCGGTACCGGGAATCAAACTCACGACCTCGCGCTTGCCAGGCAGGTGCTCTGCCGCTAAGCTAAATCCCCAGCCCCAGGGTTACAGTTTTAAAAATAACCTATGTACTAACCTGTTTGTCACATGTTTTAACTTCTTCTAGCTAGGGTGCCTTTGTTTGCTAATACAATTTTAAAAACAATAAACTATGAAACGTAGTTATTTTATTTATTTTTTGCGTGTTTGTTTTACAGTTCTGAGGACTGAACCCAGGGCTTTCACACTAAGCCACATCCTTGTCCCCCTCCTCTTCTCTCCTCCCTCCCCTCTTGTCCCCTCCTCTTTTCTCTTTTCTTTTTTGAGACAGGCTCTCACTGAGTTGCTTTGTTGCCCAGGATAAGGTTGAACTTGAAATCATCCTGCCTCTGCCTCCCAGAATGCTTGGATTACAAACATGCACCACCATGTCTGAAAGTTATTATAATGCATTCTTTTTTTGTTTGTTTTCTGTTTGTTTGTTTTTTTGAGACAGGGTCTCACTAAGTAGTCCAGGCTAGCCTTGAACTCACTACATAGCCTAGAATGACCCTGAACTCATGATGATTCTCCTGCCTCAACCTCCCAAGTGCTGGGCTTAGAGCCAGGCACCACCACGTCTAGCCATTATTTCAATGTATCAATCCCTTTCTTTTTCTATTAGTTTCTTTTTGCACCCTGTTTAAGAAATCCTTTCTTCTCCAGTGTCATACAGGTATACCATCAAACTTTTCTGTAAAGTTTCATGTACACCGAGGCTTTTAACCCTATCTGGAAAGTATTGTGAGTCAGGTGAGAATCTGTTTTTCCGTGTGGAGTTGGTTCTCCCAGCACCCTTCATTAAATAAAAGGCCCATCTTTCCCATGCATATGCAATTTTCCCCTCGTCAACGAGCTCCCAGCTTGCTTGAGCCTACGTCCCTTGTGCTGAAGAACTGGATCATCACCAGGCCATTGCCAAACTTGTGATCACCGAAACCCCTCTCTCCGTTCTCCTTTCTCATACTTGTCTGAGTTATTCTTCAACCTCACTCCTCCCTATGAACTCTAGAATTTATTTGTGGATTTCGTATTCCACATATAATCCTGCCAGGAATTAAACAGGACTACGCTGAGTTAACAGATTCATTTGGAGGCAACTATGATATTCAGTCCTTCCATAGATGAACTAATGTATCTTTCCATTTATTCACTTTCTTTATTTAAATCTCCCTTAAAGTGTTTTGAAATTTTCAGGGGCTAGGGATATAGCTCAGTGGTAGAGCACTTGCCTGGCACATGCAAGGCCCTGGGATGGATCCCTAGCACCTTAAAAAAAATATCGTGAGTTTCTCCAGAAACGTTTCCCTTTTAGATTTATTCTTACAGCTTTTGTCTTATAGCTTTAATGCTAGGATGAATTATAACTTCTTTTGTCTTCTCAGATGTTACCATTGGACGGTAGCTAGCATTGATCTAGCAGCCCACTCTCTAGTGTTAGTCCTAATAGCTAATCTCCCGGTTTGCCCATGTAGCTAGTTATGCCATCTGTCAGCAATCACATGTGGCTCTTCCTGATTTTTATTATTTTATCTTGTTGCAATATCTGGAATGATGATTAACAGAGCTAAAAGTAGACAGCTTGTCTTATTCCTGATAACGTGCGTTTTTTAATGGAAAGAATCCAGAGTCTCCATCAGACTCTGACAACGATCCTCGATTCAAGAAAGGTGAACAACTACTTTGTAAGTTAACTTTGGACCACGTTAAACAAACTGGATTGAGTTCCCAGTGGTACAGAAGAAAGTAACACAATCAAGCAAGAACTTAAAGCACAGCCACAACCACCAGGTGCGAAAGCCAGGCAGGTACAGAGCACAGCACTAATTGCCCATTAAGGGTTTGGAGACAGTCACAAAAGGAGATCTCAGGCCAGAGAATGCAGCGAGAGACAAAGAGCAGGGAGTGTAATTGTCAGGGGTGACACACACTTACCGTGTGAACGCAAACAGCTTGCCTGCCCTGCTTCACCCGGTCTACTCATCTATAAATCAAAGCTAATAACATCTACACCTTATTTATGAGTCACAAATTCTCCTGGTTGAAAAAGGGCAATGAGGTTTTTAAAGAGTTCTGATTGAGTGGGTAGAGGCTGGAAAGCTCCGGGCCTTTCCCCATTAGCAGTGCACTTAGAGGTAGGGAGAGAAAAGCTGGCTTGGAAATCAAGAGTAATAGGCCCTCCTTGAGCAATCACACCCAAGTCTTTGAGACAGCTCCTGTCCTGGACCAAATAACTCCTCACTTTGGGAACATCTCACTGGGTCCCTGCCAGCACCATGCCTCCCAAGCTAGGTGCCCAGGCTGCGTGGAGTTCACCCGGCTGCACGTGTGGAGCTGGGGAGATCCTCAGGGACACCCCAGAATGTCCTGCATAGAGGGGGTGTAAGCAGGGGAAGCTCTCTCATCCAGAGGCAAAACCCAGAAAGCAGACTTCCTTCCTAAGCGACTCGGTGAGTCTGACAGGTGAGCCAAAGGCCGAACCAGTCCAGGGGCTGGGCATTTTTATTCCCAGGGGCTGGAATTTCCAGAAAGATTCAGTGCCTGCTGGCTCTCTGCAATGTCCAAGAGCTCACAGCTCCAGCTCCCCTCTGCTGGCTTCACAATGGGACTCCAAACCCAGGCGAGCTGTCACTTCCCTGGCAGTTTAAGAGTCACTTAGAGCTGAAGACAAACTGTTGGGAGACCTGAGCAGGGCAGCCAAGTGTGGCAGAAGTCAGGGCCCCTAAGCAAACAGGAAGCGCACCTTCTCCGCTCAGCCCAATCAGACAAGGAGATTTGGAAGCCACAGAGAAAGTTATTGCTGCCCAAAGGCAGAATCCTAAATCGCAGGGCATTTGAGGAGAATGGAGTGGCCCAGATTTTTTTTAAAAGCACACAAAAGCCGTGATTGTGTTCTTTCAGGTACACCCTGACCTGCCTTATGACATTGACTGCAAAGGGCAGAAAATATTATGTTCTTCAGATACACTCTGACCGCCTTGTGAAACTGACTTCCGAGGGGACAGCCTGCCCTCCTAAGGAGGCCCCACACCCTATCAGCAGCACAACATCCACCTGGAACACGGAGGAAATGTCACTGAGACCAGGGCCCACTACCCTGTGCTGGCTCCTGTCACGGGGAATGACCGCAGAAACTAAATTTAACACTGTCTGGCACTTGGGCTGGAGTTACCAGGCGGTGCTGCACTTGATCGTCCAGCGTGCAGCCTGGATTTGTCCAGTGTGCTGAGGTCCTCTCCAAGCGACCGCACACTCCAGCCCGCGGAGGCCCTGGCACGGGCCATACATTGGAATCAAGCTTCCTGCAGGGTTCCGAGGGAAGAGGGGCCCGCCTTGGCAGTCCTTTGGAGCCACGCTGCCTTCCAGGTCAAGGCTTGGCCTCTTCCGTGACAGTCAAGGCCACAGGGAAGGGGACAGTCCTCCGCCTCCCCTGACCAGCGCTTTGCTTCCATACAACTTTGGGTGGTCCCAGCAACAGCACGGAAGAGCAATAACACCAAACCTACAGATGATTGCGTCTGGAAATGACTTCCTTAAGATCGCACAGAAAGATGCGGACAGCTGCCATCCAAACCAGATACCAAGCAACTTCCCTCCGTTTCTAGAGGGATTTAAAGGGGAGGGGGTGTCCCGTGTCCGGCCCAGGGGCGCAGCTGCCGGTCTTGCACTAGCCTGAGAACCTCCTGAACCCAGACCCAGCTGCCAGGCGCAGCCACCCGGGCACCCTGCCTCGGGGGGAGCCGTGGACCCGGAGAAAAAGCGATACCCCGAGACTGCGGGCCACGCGCTGTCGCGCCGTCGCCCAACCAGAAGCTGCCGCCCTGCGTGCGCATCCGGCCAAGGCCCTGAGCGGCCCGCCCGTCGAGGGCAGAAGGGCCGGCCAGGCGGACTGCGGCTCGGAGGCTACGGGCGCGCTCGGTGCACAGGGAGGGCGGCGCCGGC